GCTCAAGCGTCGCCGTGCTCAAGCGTCGCCGTGCTCAAGCGTCGCCGTGCTCAAGCGTCGCCGTGCTCGAGCGCCGCCGTCTCGAGCGCAGCGGTGCTCGAGTGCGTACCTGGAGAGCGCGCTGGATGAGCGAGTTGAGGCGCGGCTCGAGCGGGGAGCCCTTGACGACGGCCATGGCCTTGAAGGCGGGCGTCAGCGCGCACTGCCGCGCCTGGTGCAGCAGCGAGCGGCCGGCGCGCGAGTACGCCGGCAGCTGCGAGAACTTGCGGAAGAACCAGCGCGGGCTCATCAGCGCCCGGGGCTCCCCGCGCACCACCGCCGCACGCACCTGCGCCACACCACGGCACACCGCTCACCCACCGCAGCCAACCAATGATTCATTTGTCAATCATTTGAGTTTCCGCCGCTTACTCTGCTGTGGTTGTTGGTGCTATCAGTGTAATGAATGTTATCGTGCAACTATCTCGGCAGGTGCTCCTCCGCTGCTGGAAAGTGAAATGCGGCACCGACCTGCTAGTTGGTTTTGGGGGATTTCCCTCTCCAGGTATCTCTTTTATTCTAGCCAGGCTGCATTAGGGACAATCTCTATGCTCCTGATGGGTCTCCCGGCTTGACTGGCTGTTTAGTCAGGGGTATGTTTTTTATTGATTGATTCGTGTTTTTAGGTGCGTAATCTGCTATGGTCATTGGTCCCGAAAACGTAGTACATTGTTTTAAACCGTAAGGTGGAAGTGATAACTCTCCCTCCCAATGGGGAGATCCGGCGTCGACTTTCATGTCGGCTTATGGGGTTTTCTCCATTCTCTATGTATCTCGCACCACCGGGGCACAGCCTCAACTGCGGCAGGCTTTAAGATCCGGACTGGTCCCCCGGTGTGTAGTGCATGCAAGTGCACTTGTATGTAAGTAAAGGAAGAGGAAGGAAAGATAGTACGCGGTCCGTGGCCCGTTTGTTAAGGTGCTGCACCTCGTATTTGTGTGCATATGGGAATAGGAGGGGGCCAGAATGAGAAAGGAATGATTGCGGGTTCCGTCGCGCGTTTCTTACTGCAACGGCTTTCGCCTGTTTTTGACTGCATAAACCAAAGGAAACAACCGATTAGAGCAGCCACCGCTCTTCTTCAGACAACGGAGCGACTGAACGACCTAGACAACGCAGTGACCTCGTAACATAGCTAGTATTAAAAATCCTTCACCGTCAGAACTCTAACACTACAACATCTTGTTCAGAGTATTTTATATTGAGTAAAGACATGTTTAAAGCCTCTTGGCTAGCTGGTGATCAGGGTGCTCGCTTTCTACTACGCAGCACCGGGATCGTTTCAAAGTCAGGCAGGACTAAAGTGTACGCTTTCCTTGCTTTATCCCAGTATATGTTGCTGTGTGACGATGAGAACATTGACTTCTCAGGTTGAGAAGACCAGAACACGACGTGAGGAAGTTTACGTGATAACCACACGTACCCGCTTAACCCATGGTCGCGAGGCAGGGTAGGCCTAATCACAGTCTGTCGCGCCACGTACATACAAACATACATACATACATACATACATACAAAGGGCTGTTTGGACTAGTCCTTTTTAGAGTATCTCTAAAGCGCTGAAGTTATTATCGAGAATTAAAGATTTTTATAATTATGCCAAAATGAAAATAAAATCCGTGTCGGTGGTGCTTCACGGCACCTGCGTCCGATGCCTGAATAAACAAATGAACGTTTACTGGTGAATTTCTCAGTGGTTTCTATGGGTCGTATTGAGTTGCGGTTTTCACCAGAGCGAACATAGGTTTGGTAAACAAGAGGACTTCATAACTGTTATTACAAGAGTTTCCTTTTGAAAATAGTGTGCACCGGAATGGTAAAACCAGTTTAAAGGCGCCAAATAAATCAAGGAGATGCGAATTGAAATGAAATGTATTGAAACAAAATAAAATAAAAATCGGTAAAATAAATGGAAGTATTCTTTTAATTGTAAAAGATAAACTTTTGCACTTCTCCAGAAAAATTTACACTTGTTTCGATCTCATCACTGCTCACTGCTCACTGCTCTCACTCTCAGTTTTGTGATTGAAAACTATTGAGAGCAAAAACTGCAAATGTTGATATATTGTTCATTAATTTTGCCAGCCGAATTAATGTCTTCAATTTTTTGATTTTAAAAAGTCTCACATATTCGAACAATGAATGTAGATGTGAGTCTCTTGCTAATAAATTCATGAAAAACTCACATTGTTGCTGTTGTAATAAAGTGGAAGCAGCCTGAATTCATACTGAATCATACTGAATTTGTTTCATAAACGATTATCTCGGCTAATTAAATTCATTCGTTGCCCATAATGAGTCTCAAACTTACCAGTCATGGAACTGTGGTAATAATGCTGACTTCCTTGTATATTAAAGAATTTACAAGTTTATATCACAAACATTACAATCTCTAGCAGTAACAAGAAACACATTTTGGCAATCAAAAGACAAGTCCCCATTAAATCCAAAGAGACAATCAAATTACTACCAGAGCAGTAGAAATTCAGCACAACAAGAACACGCTCAGAAACTACCATCGAGAAAATCTGCAGCAAGTTCACTGAATTACGAGGCAGGAGGTGGTCTCCCACGTGGGGAAATGCAAGCCAGAAATTTATCAGCGGTGTTTGTAAAGATTTCCATCCGCGTTTTCCCCCTTGTTTGCCGTTCCATTTGTCACGACTCAAGGCTGCCTAGAAAAGGGGGGACGGGATCAGCCCTTCCCGTATACCTCCAGAACCTGCGCCCTCCTAAGGGCGCCCACGCGAGCAAATAGAATGCGACGTGGTGCGGTCGGCACGTGAACTGATCTTAATTTGTTTTCAGCCCCTGTCAGCACTTGTTATGTACACAGTGGTTTTGTGTAAGGGAGACTACCGTACTTTCAGTGAGAAAACGGAGGAGGAGGAGGAGAAAGAAGAAAGATCCAAGAAGGAGGTTCTAACATATTGAAGCCAAGACAAGTGTGTAAAAGACAAAGTATGCTGTACAGATTTTGATTGTTGTTATGTATGGATTCGTTATTAAATGTTTATATGAATTAAATTAGAAAATGTTAATGATTGTTTTCATTAACTTAACAATGGATGTTTTTATGACGACGAACTGGCGTGTGTGAATGACTTATAAATTTGAAAAACTAATTACTATGCATTTCATCATCTGTACACAGTAGGAAGTTAAACAGTTACTCGGTAATACGTTTCCCATTTCGCAATTGTCAACTACTGTTGTAATCCGATAGCTACTTGGCATTATGTCATTATTATACATTGGTTGGCCTGTTGGAGAGTTCAATGGTTAAACACTAATCAAGCGTAACTGCAAATTGATGCATCATACATTACCTTTACCAATCGAATTTAAGAATTTGAAGGATTTTGACTAAAAACAGTTCTGATAAACTTCCATAACATAATTTATAACAATTTTTTTGATGTATTTTTGTACGTTAAATTTCTTTCAAATTTTGAATAAAAGAACGCTTGAATAACTTAAAATTTGATTCTACAAATTCAATGTGATAACGAAGTCAACATATTTTTGGGACATACTTTATGAGAAATGAAGTCAAAATTCTACATAAAGAAACGAATTAATATATAACAATACTAACAGAAAGTATACATATATATATATGAAGTGTATTTAAATTAAATATATATGTACAATGTAGATTGTTAACGTGCAATGTTGTGTAGTTTACAAATCGTATAAAAACGTATGGATCTATGAAATTAAATCTCAAGATCAGATACATTTACACCAAGTTACAATGTGGTTGCAGATTTGACTTTTCGTCTCCAATCATATTTGCATACTATTCTTCTTGCAATTGTATTTTTCTAGCAAACTTTTTATTTGAACTAAATAATTGAACGGTAATTTTTTACCAGGAAGCCAACATTTTGACACAGGAAAACGAAACAAGAACAAAATGTTTCATATCTCTAATGGATAATGTAAGTTTCGGCAGCGTCACTACTATAAAAATTAAGAGCATATTCTATTGATTTGCTTACTTTAAACAGTTGTACTGATTAGCGCGTGGCAACCTGCAGTAGGACATGGCGTGTTACTGCCACAGGTAGGCAACCTCACTGTTCTAACCGCTTATTTTCTTGCAGCATGTCAGGTACCGGTAAAATTGTGCTTTTGGCCTCGCGCCCGGGACCAGCCATCATGTCAAACGTCGCTTGGACACACCCCGCTGTTGACCACTTAATACTCAGTATATTCGGCGATGTGCCAAAACCATGTAGGACAACAAAGCAATGTGCTTCTTTTCGCCGATGCGTATTTGCTTAGGGAGCGGCAGTAATGTGCTGTACTTTGTATTCAACAATCAACGATACACAAATCTTTGAATCGTGAAGGTTTTGTTTTCTAATCTAGTCTAGGACGTACTTCCAGAAGGCATTATTAGTATTGGAAGTAGCAGTACAAAAAACAACAAATAATGTTGTTATTGAGAATCAACTATTGCTTGAAATAGCAGGAACATTATTATAAAATATTGTAGCGGTATAGAATTATTCAGATAAATTCTATTGAGTAAAGCAGACCTAAGGAATTTTGTAC